AAAGCCACACTAATCAGCACCTTATAGTTTCAGAATGTTTTCTGGTGTTCTTATGGTCATATTAAGATTAAGAATTTAAGAAATATTACGATTAAGATTACTGTGTGAAGTCATTTTCAATTCTAATAATGTATTCATTCTTAAACTAGCTGTAAATGTAAATATTGATCAGTTTATTTTAGCACCATATTGTCAGGATCATGGACTGTCTGTGTCAAGTTTTGCCCCTGTTTCTGTTCCCTTATTTGGTCATGTTCCTGTATATTGTTCATGTGTTTCCTGCTGTTCCCAGTGTTGGATGTACCCTGTGTTTCTTGGATTAAAGACTGTTTCGTTTATTCCTTGTCTCCATCGTTCCTTGCCATCAGAGATTGTGACAGAAGAACCGACCAAAACAGTAATCTCCGTGTGTCTACCCTCCGTTTTGTTTCCCGTTTTTACCCAGTGTCTATTTTTTCCGTTGTTCCCTGGATGGATGCCCTTCTTTGCCCCGAATACCCCCTCCTTCTGCTGGAGCAGGGGGACAAAGCTCTCGAGGACCATACTAGACCGTTCCAGGCTCAGCTGCTAGCAAGCACCACCAGCTACCCGGACGACGCGCTCTGTGCGTTCTACGACGCCAGTCTAAACATCGATTGCTCCGTCCCACCGGCTCTATTGGGCTCCTTCCTCCCGGAGATCTCCAGGCCTCCGCCTTGGTCGCCAGAGCCCTCGGCTCCACCCTGGCCCCCCGGATCCTCGGCATCCCCCTGGCAGTCGTTCGAAGATGGTCCTCAAGAGGATTTCGGCGCGTTTGTGGAGTAGATTCTGGCGAGAAACAGGTCACCTCTCACCGTCACTCCCGAGGATGATCTTGCCAGATCCACTCCGGAACCAGAGCCCAGCCCACCATCTCCCTGCAGTGCGGACCTAAAGCCCGAGCCCACCGATGACGGAGAGCCAATTCCCACCGCGATCTACGAGCCAGCGCAATGCCGAGCGACTGAGCAGAGGATCACCCCGGAAGTAGAGCCCAAGCCGTCAGACCAGGTGCGTGAGCCGGCTGCAACGCCCATCGCGAGGGAGAAAGCCGTAGACGGTGAGAGCGCGGAGTGGAGCTCCGCCCACTGCACTGCGGCTGAGGGTGAGCTGATAATACATCTGGGACTGCTGGACTTAGAAGGGGACCGTATTGACTGGGAAACCCTCTCCTCTCTCCTTCGTCCCCGGTGGTCCAGTCCAGCCCTGAGGGGGCTCCCTTTTCCCAGTCCAGCCAGGAGTGGGCTCTGATCCCCGAGGGCAGCCCTGAGAGTCCGGAGGCTCACGAATGCCCGCCCACCCACCCGCTACTGCCTCCTGCACTGCTGTCATCTGGCAGACCCTCTGCTCGCCCTCAGCCCACCATCAATACGATGCGAGCGACGCGGGTCTGCCATCCTCCAGCGTCGCCATAGCTGGAGAATCCCTCATCTCCACTTCCAGCCTCCAGCCTCCGAGGCCCAGACTCTGCCTCGGTCCGTAGACCCAGCGGCTCCACCTCCGCTCCTATCTCCCT